CTCTCCTTCCGCCTATGCCTCACCCCCTTCTCCAATGAACCTCTTTTTGTTTTGTTCTTCTCTTCTACGTTTCTCGAATTGTTTGATTGCCTTCCTCACTACCCCTTCCCCTCCTAGGAAGAATAAGCCCAAGGACTTTCCAATCTCCACCTATCTATCCCCCAGGAAGAATAAGCCCAAGTGCTACCATGAGTGACATCAAGCCAGTTGAATTCATGTGGGTGTGGTGTAGGAGCTAGTTGCAACCGTGATGGAATCTTCAAATTTCCTTGTTCAAGAGAAGCTCTAAAAAAAATCAATTTGTCATGTTGCTACCAGTGTTATAAGGGAATGTTGTTGTATTCGGAATTTCAGATTATAAGGTGTATGAAGAGTGGAGTTTTCTAGGAAGAAAAATTTATGGTCAAAGACTTTAATGTATAATATCAACCCCACTGGGGTTTTTTCTTGTACTTTTGGATAATGCAATATTAATATAAAGAGCACCTCTCATTAGAGAGATACACTAGCATGTGGCATTCAGATCAATGATATCTACTCTTCTCTCTTCTCTTCTTCTCACCTTAAGCACAACAAGAAAGGTCTATGGCAAGCATCCTAGTGTCAGAACAATTGAAGATAATTTGGCACGAAATATGAAAATGTCTAAAATAGAAAAACTAGGGTTGTTGAATTGATAAAAATTTTTTGGTAAGTTGATGGATGTAATGGCTTCTTGCAGATTAGAGAGAAGATAGAGAGAAAGAGGTGAAGAGAAATCCCCAATGATTCCTACAAATTAAAAAGAAAAAGAAAAAAGAAAAAACTCCCAATTGAAAGCCAAAATAAAAGTCCCATGCAAGAATAGGACAAGATATTCACAAGGTGTCATTTTCAAATACTGTAAACCGGTGATAAGAAAAGAGAAAGTGTGCATGGATGACAAATGATTGCACCAATGCTGTCAAGACTGTTGGAACAGACCAACAGAAGGCAGTTAGTCAGTTTTACAAGAAGAGGCCACATCAGCTCAACTAACCAGCCACTTGTAATAACTACCATCCACTTGTAACAACTGCCATCCAATTGGATTGTCAA